TTCCATTTATTTTGTCCAAGATTGTAGTTCTCGGTTCTCAGTCTGGCCGAGAGTTAGCCGAGACCCGGCCGAGAGTTTCACGACAAGGACACTACACCCCCTCCCATCCCACACCACGCTAAGGCTACGATGAAAGTATGTCCCAAAAGGTGAAAAAAGGAAGGAGAGGTAGAATACCTTTGTAAGGCTGTCTCATATGGCGTTTTTCTGGTATGTGAGTTTGTCTTCTGAGAACTCTCGCAAACACAACGGTAGTAAGCCGCAAAATAAGTTTAGCAAGATTTCCCCTGCAGAAGTCAACTTATCGTAGTCTTTAATATCCATGGACAAAACCTAACTGAAAAGTGGAAACGCAACAAAGATTACAAACTCGAGCCCTGAATAGAGCTGAACACCGCTTAACTGAAGTTTATAAAATATTGCGTTCTAGCCTGGGTCTGGGAAAAAGGTAAAAAAAGGGGTCAAATAGCAAATAGGAAAAATATCGGCGAGCGAGCTTTTTCCCACAATGCTGAGCCTGGTCCCAGGCTAATTGCGTTCGTTTTCACTTGTTAAATGCAGAAAACTAAGCTATAAAGCAGTATAAAGATTTCACTTTTGGCTGGACCATATCGGAAAGTTCCCAAGAGGCCTATACCTTTGCTTCCCGGTCATTTTTTGATGGTCAAAAAGTGTCTTTGGGTGGGGGAAGGGGCAAACTCATCCCCTGGGACTCTACCCTGAGGACGAAGTTGGGGGAAGTGGTTAACTTTTGCTTTTTAGTCCAAATTAGCAATTTCTTCTTTCTTTCTTTTTTGGTAATGGTCAAAATGAAGCTAGAAATCAATGTCTGGCGATTTGCTTTGATGCGAACAACTTACAAAACCAAGTTATAGAGAGACTGATTTCATCTTAGATTTTTCCCTAGGGTTAACCTAAGCATTTAAATTTGGAATTTTTTTCAGTGTTTGTTGATAAACAAAATCAACCTAGAAATGATGTTTGGTCATACGTTAGGAGTCCAAAAGTTATAAAGATTTCGATTTTGTGTGGATTATATCTATTTCGAAAGGGTAGTACCATAAAACTGTTATGAGAAGATCAAAAGAAATGATCTGCAATTGTAAAATGGCTGGCAAGACCACTTTTTGACAAAAAAATAAATCTGAAAGAAAACAAAATTAATAGTTACAGGCTTTAAGATGAAAGAAAAGATTGGATAACAGCATGCATTCTAGGACAAAAATAGTAGCTTACACTATAGCAATTCATAAGCATTCACTGGAAAATGCTCTTTATTTATTAACAAATATTATTTTTACATGCGTCATGTACAAAATACAAAAGTATCTCAATATACCTTTATCAACAGCAACTTACATTTACTTTTTAATTCTAATAGTTCTACCTGGTGTTTGGAGCCGTCTTATCGTGCAGTCCCTGAAACTCATTCTCGGTACAAAAGGAACACTGTTTGTTCCTAACATTAAAGGGAAAGGAAGCAAGGTGGAGAAGAGCAAGAGACACTTTTGAATATCTCTTCCAAGTTTTCCATTTCTGATGCCACCTTTTAAGATAAACATATTTAATAATACTGTCCGTGAATTTTCAAGCCCCCCTCTTCCCCCCTCCCCCCCACTTTCTAGTATCCTTAGGTGTTTTATAGCTCAACAAACATCTTTTAACTTTATTCAATTTGCTACCCTAATGCTGTACAAAAAAAGAAATACAAAGTCTATCTAGTATACTATCTACGAGTCCGAGGATCACGACTACTGTTTATAACATTACGCACTGGAAGTTCAGTATTATGAGTTCCATTACTGTTATGTGATGATGCTAAGACAAATCCAGTATTATTCCCATTGTTATTTCCAATGCCATTGCTGCCGCGCATTTTTAACCTTGGATCACGTGAAGCATCAACCTTGGATGTTACATTTGCTTGAGAGTTTGTTCCATCTGGTCTACTGTAAGGGTGAAATCTATGAGACATGGAATTGGTCACATGATGGTTATTTGAGTTGCTCATTGCTGGTAAATGGTCCAGGGTGTGATTTTGATTCCTCTGCATTAACGATGCTGTTGTTGACGGTGTTGTAGATGAATTTGGCGAGTTTCTTATTTCATTTTGTTGAAGATTCTGGAAAAGAAATTCAGGTAACACAAAATGTAAACAATTAAGAACTAGTTAAATTTCTTAAGAGCTATTTAATATATAAAGGGGGTCAGGCTTGTAGCCAGGTTTTTTTACCGGTAGATGTGATCAAGGAGGAGATGGACCAAATGAGGCCGAAGGGGCAAGTTTCTAAGGGGAGGGGGAGCTTTAGTTGTCTGAAACTGAGTTGTGCACTTCAAATGCATCAGCATGAGTCAACTAGGGGGTTCCGGGGGCATGCTTCCCCGTAAAAGTTTTAAATTTAAGCCCTCTGAAATGGCTGGAAATTTGAGTTTTTTTTCTAGCAGTGAAAAAAAGCCATTTACGCGTGCATGTGTGTGTTGACACGTACTGTCCAATTACAGGCATGATGCATTATTACTGTCCTATAACACTGTCCTATAAGTACTGAAATCAGGACAGTTGATAGACAATCAGAGTTAAGAATTATGTTACAGTTATGATTATTACTGTAATTATTACCTGTTTATATTGTTGAAGAAATTCTGCATTGGGATCACTCATATTTGGCAATTCGCAAAACACCATACAAAAGCTAGAAATGAATGTCAAAAAAAATTTAAAACAACTAAATCATTTAAACAACACTAAATAAATAACTAAATTTGGGTAAAAACAATAAGTGAAGGTGTGGTCAATATGACCTTTTATAAAATAATAATAAACCTCTCTACCAAGTTTATTGTTAATTATTCATTTTTTCTGTTTCCTGCATTAACATACCAATAACTCTGACACTTACTCTCCAACTTTTTCCATATGTCCCACTCGTCCAGTGTAAAGAGTCAGGCTTCCTTTCCATAACTGAGAGTACCTGAAAGAGTTTTAAAAAAAATTGTTACATGTGATCTGTAACATTGAACAGTGGATGTTTTACACACGTGCAACAGTTATCGTGGAAAGAACTTTTCAGTCTAAAGAAAATAGAGATATCAAAATTATGTTTAGCAGGGAAAAGTGTAGCATAACAGTGACATTCAAAGGCCACTATAACAAAAACTGCTTTTAAATTAAAAATCATTGTTGGATACAGTTGAAAACTCTAATGACAAAGACAGCCTTTATTGTTTGCCATGGAGACTCTTGCCTTGTTGAATGCTAGTCATATTATAAAAAAAAGTAGTTTATAAAAAAGCTATTGACCACTATTAACCACAAACTGCTCTACATGGCAATTCACCTGGAAGGAGGCATCCAAAACATCTGGATCAGACCAGAATGGGTCTGAGAAACAGTGTTCTCAGATAGATAGCGGTTATAATGGCCAAATGGTAGCTTAATACAGGCTATGAAATACTTGATACAGATAAAGATATGAAAAAGGATGCCGTGGTAGGTGAACTCATTTCTTCCCTTATTTGGTGACTACAATAATGTAGAGGCACTTAGGTTCTCATCAACTGCTTCAGGCTTATAAGTTAAAGGAAGAGAGAAGAAGCTTGAGATGAGATCAATGAACACCCCCCCTTTCCCCTCCCCCAGAACCAGAAGAAATTTTGGCAAACTCTCCTGATACAAACCACTGTTATGAAAATATCAAAACCTTGATTTTGCAGTTCATGCATACAAAAGGGACTGCAAATTCGGTGCAAAGAGCACCAGAATCTACCAAGAAACGGACCATAAGGCCTAACTTCTAGCAACCCTCCCCTCCCCTAAAAGAATTCCAAACATTACAAATTTACTTCTCAGAACGTTTTTGATTGAGACGTGTCTTGGATTTTTAGTGAACGATTTGGAGTACATACAAGCTTTTCAGCTCGAATTTCTCCACCGGAATTGTCTCAGTTCTCTTCCCAAGTGATGGCCCAGGCTGCGCGAACACCTCCCCCCGGAATTCTACTTTAAAAAATGCGACAAGGAAATTTGAAACCTCAAGGAATTTCAAGACATTCCGCGATCAAAAACGTAGCCTCAAAAAAGACGAGGAAAGTATCCGTCCTTACCCTCGAACAAACTTAATGATATCTCCTGGTTGAAGGATTTCTCCAACTTCATCCCAAACAGACACCGTAACAGAACCGGTTTTGTCGGCCACTCGACATGCCCGAACAACATGGTCATCTTTAGTTTTGGTGCCTTTGCCTAAAAGAAACAGCCGGATAATTGACCGTGAATTTGTCATCCGAAAAAGCAGGGAGCGAGTGAAAGGATAGGGGAAGCTTACCAACTTCCAAAACTATGAATAAACAGTTTAAGTTTTTTATGCCGGGCCGAATATCTTTGATATCCGTGAAATGCCTTGTGTCATCCGCCATTACATTCTCTTTACTGCGAACTATTTCTCAGGAACGAATCATCTCGTAGTTTATATGGAGAGCGGATCAATGACGTCATTTGCACGTGTTACAAATATTGGCCGGGACTTCATTATTAAGAATATCGGATCGAAAGTTATCTCGGAAGAACAGAATGGATAATGACCAGTATACTGAAAATAAAATATCACTTACCAGCATTTAAAATATAGAGCAAACCCAGAGTAGTGATCTGAGCATTAATTCTTTGCAGATTCCTTTGTAAAGAATTTTGAAAAAAGTTCTGGACTTCCGGGTGTAATACGGCTCGAACAATGGTAATTAAAATTATGTCGTATTTACATACATACAACTTTGCTTATGAAGACTGTTCAGCTTGCCAACTTGTTAGCTACTTAAAAGCTACGTTGTTTTAGCTGTGAAGTTGTTCATGCGGGTAGCGTCAAAAGTTACGGATCTTCATTGTCAGTCTCGTAAAAGTCCCTTCCAATCCTTTCCATAAAGCTTTCATCTCCCACTTTCGGTCCAGAGAAGTAATTTATTCATCCAGTCCAGAGACAGATTAAAGATGTTTATTATTTCAACCTAACTACAGAGGAGTTGTTAGTTATCCGCTCAACACCTGGCTTGCAGATACAGAGGGTTCAAACTGACAAGGGATAATTACAAATAAACTAAAGGGAGGGATGCTGCTAGGTAGTGAGTAATGAGAGCGAAGGAGTCAGGTTTTGTCGTTCCACTAAATCTGCAAATCACTTTATATAATCAGTCTTCCCTCGCCTCATTACTCATTTAAGAATGCGACTTAGTCTGGTTTAGTTTTCAGTGATGTCTAAAAAGTATAGTTTACAAAAATTTGTTACAAGAAAACAACTGGCATATATATTTGGTTTAGTATAAACGGAAACATTAACGGTTTTTTTTTTAACCTATTAATCGGTATAAAGAAATGAAAGTGTCTGTTATTTTTTTCGCAGATGATTGACTTGTTTTCGTGGCCTGTTCATATCTTTTTTTATATCTTGTATGCATTTACAAAAAAGGGCAAAATGTATTTATAACAGATTATAAACTAAGTCTTTTTTTCGAAAACATGAGGTCATTCTATGGGAATTGCCTCCGCTGCGTGAGACCGCTGGGCACGTTTCCACTGCGCTGTAGTCATGTCACGTGACACCGTGACAACTTGATCATGAAATGTGTCAAGCTGCTCTACAAGCTCGTCGCGTGCCTGTACAAAAGACAAACAAATAGCGCATAAGAGTAGTGCAATGATATGTTAATCCCCTAAGTTCCTGTAACGCTATAGCCTTGCCCACGGGTGGATAACCCTTCAGGAAGTCTAATAATACTACTGACTGTGGTCCACATGATGGCTTTTGTCAGTTGTAAAACTGGAAATTTGTCTCCCTTAGAATTCTAGAATCAGACGGCGGTTCAAAAAGAGCAAATGAAGAGTATTTGACGTAACAGGACGTACCTTGGCTAATTCTGAGTCAGGTTGTACATCTTTTAACAGCACTAACAGCTGATCCATTGCCGTATAAGGAAGCCACACACTTGGACTAGTAGCGTGCAAGGCATTCTGGGAATAAAGTAATTTGACGTCAGTGATTTCTTCTGAATATGACATTTTTCGAGTGATACTGAGGCCTAAAGCAGTTTGTTAATAATGAACAAACCTGACACTGTAGAAGACAGACAGAAAACGCAGTACAAAGAAAGGTAAAATGGTACCATGTTTGAATAGGCGATTTGTACGATGACGTCTTCTGACTTCTACTACAAGAATCCATCAGAGTTTCACTTTCTTGTGCAAATTAGGTCTTGTTAACCTCACTGGGATTAAATGTGAAAGGAAGAACGAAATGGCTTCTGGTTGCAGTAGTGGTAAAATGATCGTGCAAATGGCCTATAGATCTTTTTAGCATGCATGTTTTGCTCTCCCAATTCAGAACACATGATGTTCTCAACGGAATATGCCTTTTGTCGTTTCATAAATTATGCATACATATCCAGGTGGATACACGAACATAGGACGATAAGTGAAAGAAACAGATCTCTGGGGTTACATCACGTGGCTGAAATGGGGAAACAAAACATATAAGCTAAAAAAAGGTCAATTATAGGTCACTTTTTAAACAAAAACTGGTAATCGGCCAAAAATGATCGATACCAAGCCGGAAATGGTCGGTAACTAAGCTGAACCCTCTCAAAGCGTTCGGAAATCGTGTCTAAGATTTTAGAACTGGTTTTCCTCTGATACAAGATTAAATAAGGACAAAATTCATTGTTGTTAAAGTGTTTACCTTGAGACCGAAGTATTCTTTGCCGTTGCCAAGAACAGCTTGAATGTATTCTACAGCGAGTGTGACTGCTTCAATCAGCAGATCGTAATTAATGTACAAGCGGAGTAATTCAGGAGCATTGACTCGCTGTCAAATAAGGTACATGGATATGGAGTTATTTTTACTGTAATGAACCTTGTTGTTAAAAAAGGCACAAACTCAAGAAGCTATCCATTAATTAAAAAGGCTGGTTTTCACTAGCGACGGAGTCGGAGTCGGAGTCGTAATGAGAAGCGTAGAGCTTATGATATAGTGAAAACAGCGTTCCGATTCCGCTTACGACTCCGTCGCTTATGTTCCGCTTATGATCTAGTGAAAAACAGATTGTCGGAGTCGGAAGCAGAAGCAGAAGAACCAAACCAATCACAAAGCGTGGGAACGTGCATTGTGATTGGTTTATCCTTCCGCTTCTGCTTCCGACTCCGACAATCTGTTTTTCACTAGATCATAAGCGGAACGTAAGCGACGGAGTCGTAAGCGGAGTCGGAAGAAATGGAAACGTTCTGATTCTTTTGACTCCGATTCCGTCGCGCTTATGACTCCGCTTACGACTCCGATTTTTGATTTTCACTAGGTCAGAAGCGCTCTTACGAGTCCGCTTACGACTCAGACTCCGACTCCGACTCCGACTCCGTCGCTAGTGAAAACCAGCCTTTACTTGAAACCCCATCCAAATCAAACTAATAAAGCAGTACTTTCCTATGGCACTGTTCAGTCAAATGTTCTACCTTTTAGACCTTTGGATGAAATCGTATGGTGTGACCATTCAAATGAAAGCTACTGAGCAGTACTTTCCTGTGGTACTGTTTATTATGCTGTACAAGGTGGTTCTAACTTTTGAGTCGTGTGGATGAAATCCTATGGAGTGAGCATTCATGAGTTACTGTGGTACTGCTTATCATTTTGTACAAGGTGGTTCTAGTTTTCGATTCATGCAGACTTCATTTCAGTGTCATTTTCCGATGGACGACATGTTCACACTGATCTCACCTTGTAATCATTCACAAGCCACGTGGGCAGTGTGGCGCCAGCTGACAGCAGTTTAGTCGCAACACATCTGTAATACACGTAACCATCACGTGATCCAAGCCTGTCAAGGTAGAGTTTCAATAGCTGCCAGGCCTGATCTGCAACACTGTAACAACAACAAAAACAAGAATAGTTTATTAGGGCGACAATATTTTAAATCATTCAAATTACAAGCCTTCACCGACTAACCGCACAATACAATGCACCCTTCAGTACCTTTTATAACCGGAAACCTGCGCCTCACCAAGGTCATTGGATAAAATCCAGTCCAAAGCGTCCTGCTCAGCCTGTCTGCAAATAATAGACAGTGGTTTGCATTATTATAAGACCTATAAGACCTATATTTTCAGTAGTGACCAACGGAGAATGAGGCAATCACGTACGTAGAACTTACGAAACGTCGGGGGGGGGGGGAGTAGTGAACAGGCTGCGATACAATCTTACCCGCGTATTAGGAGTGAATTTTACCAAAACTTCTACAAGAAAGAAGATAAAATATCGAGGAGCCTCTAGAAGTAAAGTGTATGATAGAACTCGCTAAGCCTTCGCTTCACGATGATAGTTATTTTGTTTTTGATAACGACGTGTCCACAGCGCATGTGCACTGCTGGTCACGTGTTCATCAGGCAAATGGTGTAGATAAGCTCTAGTTCTAATGATCCTACACCATCGCTTGATGAAGACCTGCAGTACGGATCAGTACACGGTGGAAACGTCGCAATCAATAGCAAAATGACTATCAAGAGACAAAAGATAAAAGAGCCTAACATGCAAGTAAAATTATTTAAACATCCTCTGAATTGTGGGAGCTCTATTTGGATGAAAATGATAACTGATCTGATATATCACATTAATGATAGTAGCAAAAAGTTCTCGTTTCTGTATTGTGAGTACTAAGTGTTGTTTAATTACCTGGTAAGTGCAGTCCCCTGATGAGATAACTTTACACACCTGTTACGAAACAAAAAAATAAAAATAAAACAAGTAACTTCTCCAAGGAATGACATCAGCTTGCTTTTGACGTTAAGAAAAAATGCTTCGCTAAATGAGACCGATTTTCAAATGCCAAATTATTCGAAGGACTTGTACTTCCTTACCTTGAAGCAAGTCCTTCAAATATTGTTTCTTTTGGCAAGTTAAAATGTGAGGCTACAGTGAAGGCGTTATCAAACAGGCCAGCCTGCGTCAATAATGCAACACTTTCCTGGGGTGACAGCAGAGGACCTACAAAACACAAACAAAAAAACAAAGTTCATTTTCAACTTAAAAATATCTAGTTACCAGAGGCCAGTCGAGAAATCACGTAGAACGACGGCCCCTGAAGAGATATTTTCAGAAAATCTGAAATCCTATAAGGGCGGTGGTGGCGGATGGGCCACTGTTTATCTATGTGGGAAAGTAGTTTGTAGGGCGTGGTCATTCCACTGAACCTTGGCAAGTTAACAGCAGTTTTTTAGAAGTGATCAATAGCGCCAAACTGGATGACCCATCGCTTGCTGGCAAGGGGGGGAGGGGAGCTCAAGAGGCAAAAGAAAACACGTGGGGAGATAGGTGAGGCCCTCAACTCTGAAGCAAACAGTCAGGTGCCGCCAATCAGAAGCCACATGAAGCCCAGTCAGCACCTGTGTAACCTCTCTTTTTGTGCTAACTGTGGCATGAAAAACTGGGATATTGATACTACCCTTCCATGGACGGGATGCTAGTTCATCATTGGGAGAGGACACATTCACAAACGAATTGGAGGGAGTCTCTGTCAGCGAACAATTCAAGTATTAAAGCAAACAACTGCACAAGCACATTTTTACAATTAAACTCAGGATAGGAAGGTACGTCCTCTGTATCAAATCCTTTGGGTTACAATAATTTACTAGTCAGTGTTACGTTTGGCTTACATCTCATCCATGGACAAAAACAGACATTTATATCCTCATTCTAACCTGTTGCATGAGTAGGATCAGCATCAATCTTGATCAACTGCAGCCTGGCAAGAACCAATAGATACTCTCCTTCCAAGTCCCTCATCTCTAGCACGGTTACTTTTCTCCGAGGTGCTCCTTTATGACCTGGGTAGGGCAAGTCACCTTCCTCGCCTTGCTTTCTTTTCGGAGACATGTTCGGGGGCTCAACAGGCTTCTACGACGATTTATGAAATGATAAATAGGAGGCATTTAACCCATAACTTCTTTTTGTAGTATTTACTAAGATGAAGAGTAAAGTGGTCGTTTATAACGCGTTATTAAAACGAAAGAACCTTGTGCATACAGTTGAGTAATACCTAGCGTCTGTGGACGAAATCCTATGGTGTGACCATTTAAATGAAAGCTTATGAGCAGTACTTTCCATTGGTACTGTTTATTGTGTTTTAAAATCCAAAGCATAGTCTAAGGATGCCTTCCCACGCCTTTATGATTGTTGTTAAATTGTTAATGAACCTTGTACAACTTACGTTGATTTCAACTCTGTCTAATGGTTTTACGATCCAGGCATTTTTCAGATCTACAAGATGAAGAGCGTTCATTGCCGCTAAATAACATTTGGCCTAAAATGAAAATCACAACAGTAAGTCATTGAGAAAGAAACAGACGATAATATTCTACCAAACGAAACACCAAACAAATAAGAAGCTCCTCATCTCTCAATTAGAGAGGAGAGACCATTACTGAAAATATGGATTAGGTCAGCTGAGAAAATTCTCCCCTGGAAGACCAGGGAAACAAAGAAAGCAGTGAAAAATTGGCCAAGGCACTTGTTTTCTCTCAAGAATCTTAAGGCATTATTAGACTTTCTTTGCTGTCTTCGTCCCTGCCAAAGAAAACATGGGTAACCCGGCAAACTGGACTAAAAACTTGCTCAAGCTATATATATAGCCTCTCTTACATTCCTTGTTGTGTTAAGTTTTCATCTCTTGCAAAGTCCTTATTGGATAATAGTAAGCTTTACCAATACCTGTTTTTGTAAGCTATCAAGTCCAGAGACCTCCTGACCGAGTCTCATNTATCAAGTACCTCATCTTGAAGGTTGATAAATGGGTATTCAATGAGTCTACGAGTTTCACCTCTTTCACAAAGAACCACCATGAACTTATGTAAACAATCCCGTCGTCTGAAAGTATAGAACATCAGTAAGCTGTTGCCTTGACCCCTTAAGCCCCCCTCCTCTCCATACACATCCTTATAGAATTGGTTGAGAGGAAATTTAAGAACATTGAAGCATTTTTTTTATGGTGATCCCTTCATTCATTTTCATAACCTTTTCTTCTGATTAACAATACTGATATTGTAAGAAGAAAATTAAAGTTGGCACTTTGAGAGTTAAGTTCAAAAAGCATTGTCATATGTTTATAGCTAGTAATTACGCAGTAACGTAAAAAATCATGGTTATGTGGTTGACACCCGGAGAAGAGGGTCAGGCGAAGAAGGACAAAATCCTCTACTATCAACACAGTAATCTATAATTACCTATAAAATCCAGCCAAACATGACCCAAAGCTTGATTGAGCTTTAATTCAGACTGTTCAAAATATGACCATCTTACACAAAATAGCCAGAATGGGAGTGTTAATTGTTAATGACTGAGTTAAATCTAATTTGCTCATTTAAACTTAGGAAGACTCCTGTGATATGAGGAATATGTCTTCAATTACAAAATGACTAACCTGACAGGATCTGGATTGGCAATCAATGCATTATATGCCAGATCGCTTTGTCCTAACTCCAGATGATGCTTGAAAATGTTTGACCAAAGATTAGGCTGGAAAGGAAAAAGAAAGCAAAGTAACAAATTAAGCACCATAGATTACTTTATCCATATCCAGCAACCTGACATAAAATACAACCATCTATCCACACCTCTTGTATGTATTTACTAAGTTTTCCATTACAATACATTGGATAAGATCAGCAGGGCTTACTAGAGTTTGTATTTGGTAGACTTTGTTCACAGCTGGAAAACTTACTATAACTTACTACTTAACTAAAGACCATTCTTGCAGGTGACAGGTTCGATTAAAAACATAGATAATAAATAAAACTTGACAATATCAACCGCCGCCACCATCTTGACAATGTAACACCAGCAAACAATATTGGTTAAGTCGCCACAAATGACCACGCCCACCTCAGCTCCCCCCTTATTTTTTACTTCTGCTGGACCAGAAGACATCTATCTTAAGAGGATGGTAACAACACTCTGCAAAATGGTAACCTCTTCCTGACCACACCTGTATAAAGCGGAATTCAATCTCTGCCACACCTTGACATACATGGATTTGATTTCCATGAAAACAACTAATTACAAGCTGCACCTATTCCTGAACACAACTTGTTAAGCTTCTTTTTTTTTCAAGATGTAACCCTTCCAGACTGCACCCATTGGTAAATAAGCGATGACTGATCAGATTGAAAAGTGTGTCTGTCACGTAGGGACTACCCCCTTTCATTGGATGAATCTTGGGGCATCCTCAAGGGAAATGTTTTTGAGAGACTTCCTGAAAAGTGCATTTCAATGCATTTTTAGCAACCAGGGAATGAACTTTTAGCCACACATTATTTACTGACATTTGCATCAATCAAACAAAACTGTTGGAAACAAAAATTTAATGATGGAAGATGGAACTAGACCCACTATGTTTGAATCATCAGGAGGAGCCAAGTCAAGAGCAATATGAGCTACTTGGATGACATAGTCAGGAGCATCAAACTGTTCAAACAACTTCATGACCTGTTGAAAATAATTACATACAGTGGTAAGTTAACAACAACAACTACAAAGGCAAAATGCTTCTTGAGGATGTCAGATATTGCCCTCTGTTTTGCTTACAGTGAAGTATGCAGATACCTTACTTTCTGGATCTATGGTTCTAAGCAGTGAGCTTATTTATACTTTTCTGTGAACTTCTAAATTAAACAATCCTTGGTGAAACACAGTTAGTTAAACTTTGTTAGTCTTGCAGGTAACAAAGCTAAAATATCCACAAAGGGGTGCTTCCTACATTGAGATATCAAGTACCTCATCTTGAAGGTTGATAAATGGGTATTCAATGAGTCTACGAGTTTCACCTCTTTCACAAAGAACCACCATGAACTTATGTAAACAATCCCGTCGTCTGAAAGTATAGAACATCAGTAAGATGTTGCCTTGACCCCTTAAGCCCCCTCCTCTCCATACACATCCATAAAGAATTGGTTGAGAGGAAATTTTTTAAGAAGATTGAAGCATTTTTTCTTATGGTGATCCCTTCATTCATTTTCATAACCTTTTCTCCTGATTAACAATATTGCTATTGTAAGAAGAAAATTAAAGTTGGCACTTTGAGAGTTAAGTTCAAAAAGCATTGTCATATGTTTACAGCTAGTAATTACGCAGTAACGTAAAAAATCATGGTTATGTGGTTGACATCACGAGAAGAGGGTCAGGCAGAGAAGAACAAAATCATCTACTATCAACACAGTAATCTATAATTACCTATAAAATCCAGCCAAACATGACCCAAAGCTTGATTGAGCTTTAATTCAGACTGTTGAAAATATGACCATCTTACACAAAATAGCCAGAATGGGAGTGTTAATTGTTAATGACTGAGTTAAATCTAATTTGCTCATTTAAACTTAGCAAGACTCCTGTGATATGAGGAATATGTCTTCAATTACAAAATGACTAACCTGACAGGATCAGGATTGGCAATCAATGCATTATATGCCAGATCACTTTGTCCTAACTCCAGATGATGCTTGAAAATGTTTGACCAAAGATTAGGCTGGAAAGAAAAAAGAAAGCAAAGTAACAAATTAAGCACCAAAGATGACTTTATCCATATCCAGCAACCTGACATAAAATACAACCATCTATCCACACCTCTTGTATGTATTTACTAAGTTTTCCATTACAGTACATTGGATAAGATCAGCAGGGCTTACTAGAGTTTGTATTATTTTGGTAGACTTTGTTCACAGCTGAAAAACTTACTGTAACTTACTACTTAACTAAAGACCATTCTTGCAGGTGACAGGTTCGATTAAAAATATAGATAATAAATAAAACTTGACAATAACAACTGCCACCACCATCTTGAAAATGTAACACCAGCAAACAATATTGGTTAAGCCGCCACAAATGACCACGCCCACCTCAGCTCCCCCCTCATTTTTTACTTCTGCTGAACCAGGAGACATCTATCTTAAGAGGATGGTAACAACACCCTGCAAAATGGTAACCTCTTCCTGACCACACCCATATAAAGAGGAACTCAATCTCTGCCACACCTTGACATACATGGATTTGATTTCCATCAGAACAACTAATTACAAGCAGCACCTATTCCTGAACACAACTTGCTAAGCTTCTTTTTTTTCAAGATGCAACTCTTCCAGACTGCACCCATTGGTAAATAAGCGACAACTGATCAGATTGAAAAGTGTGTCTTTCATGTGGCAGAACTGTGTATGGTTAGGTATTTGAAGGGGACTACCCCCTTTCATTGGATGAATCTTGGGGCATCCTCAAGGGAAATGTTTTTGGGAGATTTCCTGAAAAGTGCATTTCAATGCATTTTTGGCAACCAGGGGATAAACTTTTAGTTACACATTATTGACTGACATTTGCATTAATCAAACAAAACTGTTGGAAACAAAAATTAAATGAAAGACAATGGAACTAGACAGCAATTTTAGCTGTTTGCTGGAGCTTCTAGAGGACCATGATGGGGCATGATGACCCTATGATGACCCTATGATGACTTTTAGGTGACCTACACACTCACATACAGGCTAGCTTCACCATTGCTGGCAGACATTAAGTAGGCTGGTAACACTGTAAACTGTACTCACTATGTTTGAATCATCAGGAGGAGCCAAGTCAAGAGCAATATGAGCTACTTGGATGACATAGTCAGGAGCATCAAACTGTTCAAACAACTTCATGACCTGTTGAAAATAATTATATACACTGCTAAGTTAACAACAACAACTACAAAGGCAAAATGCTTCTTAAGGATGTCAGATATTGCACTTGGTTTTGCTTACGGTGAAGTATGCAGATACCTTACTATCTGGATCTACGGTTTTAAGCAGTGAGCTTACTTATACTTTTCTGTGAACTTCTAAATTAAACAATCCTTGGTGAAACACAGTTAGTTAAACTTTGTTAGTCTTGCAGGTAACAAAGCTAAAATATCCACAAAGGGGTGCTTCCTACATTGAGTTAATCACCGAGTGTATAACTTTGCATTCTTACGTCAACCAAGCCAATATACTATAAAATATTTAAGCATGCAACACTAGGTACCTTCACCGACCTTTACATAAAACAGGACAAGTAATGTTGGGATGTCTGTGGCATCAGTTTGGAGAACCTTCGACATAAGGGAGTCTTTTGAGCCTACAATACATGGTAGAAAGCACAGTTAAGTTTCAAACAACAACTAAAGTGTACTTACAACAACATTGTCTAGAGTTTAAGCTGACAACTGATCAAATCATTTGTTACAGAGCCAGATCCAGACCTTGAGATAAGGGGGGGCTGGTCATCCAGACCCTTAGATAAGGGGTGAGGGGTCTCCAAAAAAAATTTTTTCCGCCTTTCAGGCCTCACTTTGGTCTAAAAATAAGGAGGGGCCTGGATCCGCCACTGTGTTAATGCAATATTTCTTGTTATTCTCATAACTGTAGGTGCAATACTTTCCATACCATTGAGAGGCCATGTGACCTACAGTTAATCATGATCAGGAAAAGAATAAAATAGAGAAATCCCCAATACTCACCAATACCCCTTGCAGCCTTCAAAAAGTATCCCAAGGCTTTGTGATATTCTCCCAGCACCAAATGTGATTGGCCCAGTAGAAAATGCCAAGATGATTGGCAGGTGTCACACCAGTAGCAAATCAGATGGGCATACTCTTGAATGTGAAGATACTGATAACTGGTCAGCAGGAACTCAGGAAAGAGCACACTCTCCTTGGGAGGCCAACTATTAGGTCAACTATGTTAAGGTACACACTCAAAAGTAATAGTTACAGTAGAATTTTTATTACAAGGTCAGTGGTCTGACATAGTGGTCTGACAAAGAGTTGTACTGAGGAGCAAGGATAAGAACAGTCAGTGCATGGCCTTCTGAACAGGAGGTTCCAAGTTCTCTTTGTGACTTCAAATCCTTGTTTTGACTTCTTTCATCACAAAGCAATGATGGAAAGAAAAGGGTTACATAGATGCATCATGAGCTTCTTGTACTGTTACAAGTTACCGACCTACAATAAGGACCTTTACCTTTTACCTCCCTTATCAGGTAAACCTGGTACACACACAACAGATTAACATCCCATCAAGGGGCAACCAGGCAGTGATGACCCTAACTACACAAACTTACTTGCAACTAAAGGGATGGTGTGATAAACAGCTTATTGGACTCCAAATAAAGATCAGGCCTTGGTTGTTTGAATGTTGGATAGCGCTATTGACCAGATAAATTGCTATCCAGTTGATAAGTGTTAGGCAATCCAATTGCCTATCCAGTGGATAGCACTATTCACCTTTTGAACAACCGGGGCCAAAAGTTTAACTGGACGATGCCTTGATGTACTGTCTCCTATAACGAAGATAGACTATGACCACTGTCCCTTCCCATATAGGTTACAACTGGGTTGCCAGAAAAAAAAAATTGGGAGAGCAGGGCAAACTCATACAGGGCACACCCGGGATGTAGCAAAGGGATATATTATATTGCTTTTCCCTAGCACAAAGGATCCAGGTATATCTTCGGTAATATGAGCAAAAGGAATGTGATGTATGCAAATTAATTTTAACCTTATTAGTAAATGAAGGAAATAGTAAAGGAAATGTTTAGTTTACTAAACAAATTAATGAAATATTCATAACAGAGTGCAAAGGATACAGAAGGTCCAATAAAGTGTAAACAGCTTGGTTAAAGTATGTGGACCACAGGAGTTGTGGATCTTGCTCTTGCATTTCCTTGAGTACATCTCGGTCTACGGAGGAGTTGACTCATGGTGGTTATGGTGTTTCTTTCTCGAGGGGTTGTCTGTCCCTTCCCAGTAGACTCCTCTCGTTTTTGTGTTGTTTAAATTGAAGAACTAATTGTCTGTTCAACTCCTCTAGCAGTGTGAGTCTTACCAAAAACTGCCTTTGAATCCTTTCCATCATTTATTTCCAGGGCTGCTAACTGTTTTAAGTTTGATTCTCTGCAAGAATTATTAATAATTATTTTTGGTCAGTAGTAATTTTAGTCATGGTATCTTACAGACAATTATTATGCAAAGTTTTTCCAGAAAACATCCACACCCCTCTTTGAGGGGAAGATTAGCAAAAATATGATGGAAATTTCCTTTAAGCTACACTAATAGAAAGTTTGAGGCTTTACCAGAATCCTGTTTATTTACTTCATTTTAGAAATTTTATTTATGCATGCATCAAAATTTTTCAATCTGCAAAGCAGTCGTTAAGCTTGGATACTTACATAGCATTTGATGGAGTAGGAGTGACAATTTGTTCCATGATCCAGTGAAGAGCAAAGTATGACCTCAGTAAAAACACTGTCTGTGGAATATAAACTGACGACACATCCCCTGCTGTCCTGACCTCTAATCCAATCTGGATAAACAAATAAAAATGACAATGCAAGCCAAATTTCAGCGCACTTTCCTATGGCATTGTTTATGATGCTCTGATATTTATGATGAAGCTGCAACTTTTAAATCAGTGAAACCCTGACAAATCATTGCTACATTTGTCTGTATTATTAATACTACAGCTCCTTCCTAATAATTTATCAATTTGTTAATAATAGTAATAATAAATTACTGCTACAACTGGAGGTACTTACAAGATGAAAATTATATAAATTACCTTATGAATGCCAAGCTTTGTTACCAAACTTAGAAGCACGAGGAGGTGTTTACACACCGACAATCGGGATGTAACTAATTGGTGACAAGACTTGGAGAGGAGAGACAAAGACAAGTGACTGCTGAATAAATGGCTGCAAGCCATTAAATGAGATGCATCAGACAAACCTAAAACAACAACAACATAACACCACATAAATGAGAACCCAGCTGTTTAACACCTTATAGGAAGAAATAACTTATATGTACAAGCTTTGATGTCTACCTGTGTTACCATAGTGAAATCTTACCAGTATCCTGATCTCCTGTACCATCTTTCACTATGCCTTGAATATCTAATCCTTGAAGAAGGAAATCCAGACACTTGAAAAAATGGTTGACCTTATGTAAACTAAAAGAGAGAATAGTTTGTTATTTCCAAAAATTATATTATTTTTTTCTAATTTAACGTTAATTTTAAACTCGGATTACCACCTTTTAACCTTCAATTGTGTTATGGTCTCACCCTGCTTTACAGACACCTATTTAATATGGACACCTCATTATCATGGACAGTTTCCTTTGTCCCTGGGAAAAAAAAATCCGTACATTTTATTTAGATTCAACCTGCTTAATATGGTCACTTTCTATGGTTCCCTCAGTGTCCATACGAAAGGGGTTTGATTGTACCAATATTAGTAGACATTGATTCTTTAGATTGCTATGGTTACTTCGTTACAAGTAGTTGCACCCACTTACTTTGCTTGCCTGTGCCTTACTACTCATTGCCAGCACCTACCATCTATATCCCCCTTTCCCCAATGACAACTTAATTAAACAAAATGCTTTTGTACCTGGTCTCCAGCTCCTGCTGAAACTCATACAAAGCATGTCCATCCACACCCTGCTGTTGCTCCAAATCACTGCCATCACTATCATCACTGCCATTTAATAAAGTTAAATATTACTATTAAGTAAAAGTAAACTTAACTTGCTTAAGAATTTTCAGTCCACAAAAAGTTATTAATATTTATTTGGAAGAAAGAGAATTCTGACCAAAAAGCTCTGAAAAAATTCTGAGCTCCAGGTAAGACTAAAACTCACGACCCTCTGAGTTCTAGGTGGAATGCTTTAACCACTGAGCTACTAAGGGCTCTGTGGCGAGCAAGGTTAAAATTTAATTATAACTACACCAGCCATACAAAAAAATGTGAAAAAGAGAAACCTTCTACTCTTTTCTGGAGTCTATATACTTACCTTACACTGGTTAAGAGAAATGTAGCAATGTGATCTGCAGTTATAGCAGGGTTAAGCTGATATTTAACATCATTGTCAAATGCTAACATTTGTTCTAGGGTCAGCTGAATAAACAAAAAGAATGTAAAAATGTTAAAACTTCCCACAAAGCTTAATCCATGCTCTGTGATCAATATCAATATTGCAAAACTATTGAACAAACGAAGAGGAGCAAGCAAGCGGAGGTTGGTTTCGCTGCATTGGTTGAATGTCACTTCCACAATATAACTCCGTGGTGACAGGATTATCAACTGGAGGAGTATACTGGAACTGGGATTGTACCTTACCTGTTGTGAGACCATTTTGATAAGATTACAAAAATCTACAAAGGACGTCTTCAGGGCTTTAGCTGCAGATGCAAATAACAATGCAAGAGTTTATGTTACCAACAATGATTCACAAACATGTATCAACAGGACAAGTCAAATCAAACTATCGGTAGTATATTGAGGGAGTGGTGTAGTATAGTATTGTAGTTTAACATCACTGAAAAGCAAAGATACAATATAATTTCCAAACAAATGGTAATAAACCAGCTGCCAGAATAATCTGTATTGCTGTTATTGTTAGGGGGGAAACCAAATCCTAGTTCCCAGCTCAATTTGAGAAAAGAAAAGACCATTACAAATCAATGTCTAGTGGACCTTAATTTTATCGGCCGCAGTAGCCACAAAGAATTAACAAATTTATTAATTGTGAACAAACCAGCAACAGGCTCTTGGGAAAGAAGCGATACATCCATTGGCTCTGGGGAAAGGTGGACTTCTTCAAACAGATCACATGGTCTCAAGAAAGACAGCATATCCTACACAATAGCACAGTGATGTTAATGACACATTCTCCATCTGAATACTAAATTAGTTCTCTTTCATAGTGTAGTACAGTTGATTTTATAAGGGTGGTACTGTCTTTTGTTGGCACCATCAGTGCCATAATCATCACCATTACTACTATTATTACCATCATTATCATAATCATCATTGTCGTCACCATTACATGTATTATAACTATCATTGCCAGATCACCGTTATCACAATCATCACCAACAACATAATCACAAGGACCATCATAGCAATCACCATCAACATCATCACTGCCATCATCATCATCATCATCATCATCAACAACAACAAAATCTTATAATATCATATGACATGGAGAAAACTAGTGATTCATCTCCAACATTTACCTTTCGAACTAAACTGACCAAACCTGTGTTGTTATCAACAAAAATACCCAAGACTTTACTCGCAACCTGAAAAGAAAGAGGGTAAAGAAAATTAATTTAGCAGACATCCTTGTCATGTCGCAAAATATGATGCTTGTAAACAGAAATGGAATACTATTGATCTAACATCAATTTAGTGACAAGAAAAACAGTTTCAAAGTAAAAGAGGTCTTATCAAACCTAGTAGAGACAGGTCTACAGTTCCCTTACTTCACTTCTAAGGAAACAGGAGATGCCAATACACAGGCTAGGCAATCACTAACATGTGACCATTATGTAAACACCATCACTCAGTGGTAGTTCATGTGGGTGATAACTTTCATTTCCATTTTTCATTAATGGTTAATATGAACATTAAGATAATCAGATGAGTATGACAAAGCGTACTTGATGGTACTGTACAACATAGCTGAAGAACTTGGACCAGCAATGAAGCTGCAAACTGTTAAACTGATCATGAAGCATCTCATAATCTGGAGCAGACATCTGAATCTAAAGAAATAAGAACAAAATGAATAGAAAGCATGATCGGGGTGCCTTATTATAGAAGGACGATAAAAAAGGCAAGATGACATTTTAATATTACTGTGCCTTGTTGCAGCCTCAAAGTAAAAGTGTTTTTAAAACACAAACCTCAGAGTCTATAAGATTGATTACAGCCTGTTTAAGGTCTCTTCTTGAAACTGTCTCATCAACTTCATTGACAATGTTTGAAACTGGTAGATGACGATAAATCTGTTAAATGCAATTATTCATCCAAATTTAATGTTAATCATTACGACTGAAATTTTATTCAACATCCCCAAAAACTGTCAAATTTTAGACTATTAAAATCGGCATGCATTGAAGTAAACAGATCAAGTTCTACACAACCCACAGGTTACCATTGTAGCAAGCAAGCTCCAAGTCACCTCGTGGCAATAGAGAGCCACAGGACACTCATTTGACACTTAGGTTCCCTTTTTGAACATAAGACACAGGCTACCCAATTATCAAATGAGATGCAGATTGAGCATCCGTAACTGGGACTTAGTAAGTTATAGAACTAAGTGCTTAAAGTGACGAACCTGCATGGCCTTCAGAATGGTGTTATTTGAAAACCTTCCAGGATAGAAAATTTGCTCCAGATACACTTCCTAGGAAAAGATCACCCAGAAACTAAGTTACAAACTTACAAAACACACCATTACTGAAATAAATATATAAATAAAATAAATAAATAACGATTTGGAGTTAGCACATCCACATATTGGTTCTTCGTCTACCTGTTCTAGATTGAATTGGAATTTGAAAATGTTGGTTTTTGAGGAGAGGGGAAAACCGGAGTACCTGGAGAAAAATCTCTCAGAACGAAGGAGAGAACCAACAACAAACTCAACCCACGTATGGCGTCAACACCGGGATTTGAAGCCAGGCCACATTGGTGGGAGGCAAGTGCTCTCACCACTGTGCCACCCTTGCTCCCTGTTAGACAGGAAAACATGCTTTCTGTATGTGTTTCAGATTTTGGCTGTTAACAAACAACAGAATTTAAAACATTTTTCCTCACTTTTTAATTCTTTCTATTGTAGGGTGGGACCATGTGAACAAGTTAAGGCTGGGGTGGAGGGTGGGGGATACTTCCTTATTTGGCCTTGTACAATGTGTACAAGGGTGGCTGCTAGACAGGTTACATTTTTTGCCCCTCTGTCCTTAAAAGGACATACAATTCCATACAATCTTGTTCTAGACAAGGTCTTAATGTTTCAGAAAGAAACAGTGTAGGTATTTTTAGGGTTGCAAACACTGCACCTAGCCCCTGGTCCAAATTTGCATCAAGCAGCTGCTCCCTCCAGATAAGACTACTTAGTTGACTCACTCTATGTTCTTTGTAGGTTGCACTCTCAACATCAAAGTGATCTGTAGGTTCTAAAAACACTCTTGTCCAACTTGTCTGTTGCAGTCCACCTCTGAAAGATAGTGATAAACTTTTATCTAACCTGAATGAAACTTCACCTTCCTTTATAGAAAGTTTTACAACTCAATTGTAAAACGCAGTTAATGGAGCGTGACGCCCTCACTCAACAACATGTAACGCAGTGTTATGCTATAGCCCTTATCAAATCTCGTAGAAGTTTACTCGTGGTGGGTAAAACTACTGGGTAGTACGTAAAATCACGGCTATAGCTGGGAAACTACTGATACAATAGCAATCCTTGTTTTTTGTTGCAGTTGAGGCTAGTTTCTGATGTATCGCTCGTTTTGTATGGCTAGTAAAAATAATTTTCCTCATGCATATCTCGTGGAGCACTTTAGGTGCACGTTCTGTTCTGTAGTACAGTATTTTTCATTGGCTTACCTTGTGATAGCACTCGGACTATAAAAGGCCTAGTAAAAGTCCTGTGCCTCATTCCGAGCTGTATTGCGAAGTTGGTTACTTCAACCGTCCTAAAGTTTTGTAATTCCCACCCTTCCCTCCCTTTGGAGGCTTTGTTGCGGTTCCCAATAAACACGGGCTCACCGCTTTCTTTCGCTTTCGGTTTAAGTCTCACGGCGACTTCCCCAAGCTTTGATTTTAACGCAAACTTTTATATTTGATTGTATTCCAGCACGTGCCGGCGGAGTCGGCTCGTAGTGCTGATAAGATAAAGTTCCCAGAACAAAATATTTGCCTACACCGTTCCATTAAGTTGCACGATGCTGGCCGGAGGTTTCAGCTCGTAGTGCCGTGGAGTGTTAGGCCGTATTAAGTTTGTTTCTTTCGGACCTACCTGAACTTGTCCGATCCGGCGCGTGTAAATTAGCGCCGGGGAGATAAGTAAGGCTTTATGGTCACGCTATGGAAGTCGTCCACCACGCCGATCGCGGAGCGGTGTTCCCCCCATTACGCCATCTGTTTGTTGTCTTATTTTATTACAGTTATTGTAAAGTCTAGCGAAAGGAACTACGACATTAACAGATATTTTTAAAGAGGACCAACAGCACAAGTCATAGTAAGAGCCCTGTCACATTTGTCACACACACAAGTTTTGCTGTTCTTTTTCTTTATGCCATCTTTTTGTATAAGTTTTCTAATAGCACTTAATTTCTCTGTTGTTCATGAGTGTATACTTCCTTCACCCTGCATAGTGCCACAAAACATTTTGCATAGTTCTGGACACCCTACATTCTTGATGGGTGTCCTTTTAGTACAGACTTGTCATTTAGGGCTGGGGCCATGGATTTTGCCTTGCTAATTAGGAATGTAAGCCATACAGTAGAACCCTGGTAACTTGAACTCTGAAGGGAAACTAAAAACAGTTCCAGTTACTGGGGAATTCGAGTTATCGGGGTAAATTTCAGTGAAAGGAAATTTAGTTCCAGTTAGCAGGTAATTCGAGTTATTCCAGTTTGAGTTATCAAGGTTCTACTGTAGTTATTTTGGTCGATGTAATATTGATATCTTGACCACAAGAAAATGTCAGATCACTAGATACTTTTCCCATGTTACTAGACTTACGTAACTTAAATTTTTTTTACATGTTCTGTAGGACAGCCCTGCAGTGTAAATGGATAAGCACTCCTCTTACCCCTCAACTAATAAAATCCCTTACCCTTCACTGGGTTTGACATACACCATTATTTCACCCTCTGTGTTCCTCCATACTGTCCAAATATGGGATGGAGTCACGGCAAAGTCAACAAGATTCTCCTGGTTTTAAAAAACAAAATTTGAAAGAAATTGCTGACATCTGACTTTCATGCTTCACAAACATGCCTAAATTTAGGAACAAGCAGTCAATTTTTATTACAATTACTCGGTACAATACAGGGGCGGATCTAGGGGGAGGGTGCAGGGGGTGCGCACCCCCCCCCCCTGAGATGACCTGCAGTTTTCTAATACAACTGGTATTCTGCAAAAAAAAAACTATGTGGCTTATTGGTGTCGAAGTAGAGCAAGAGAAGGGTGCACCCCCTCCTGCAATAATTGAAATCAATGCTTATACAATGAGAACAAGTTTCTAGAAGAGTTTGTGTGAACACTCTTCATTATTGTTGTCATGGACAAGGACCTGTTCATTGCTGTCAGGATTAACACAATAACCTTACCTTTTTAAAATATGAGAATGAAATTTGTGATAGAATAATTCCCTCTTTTGCTGCTATTACTTCATAAACACAGAACTGAAAAGATAAAAACACATACAACAGATATTCAGCAAACAGTACACTTACCACAAAGCAGTTATCACCATATCAATATAAAAACTATTACCATAAAGCTGACCTGAGAGTTATCTGCTATACTCAAAAACAACCCAAGATAAAATCTTCCTGTCGCGGGATCCACCACTTTTCGAAGCAAATGATTTTGAGCTGCAAAGAATAATAATAATATTATTATTCTTTCCTGAAGTTAAAGTACATTGTAAAGTTATCTTCATTTCTTTGGAGTACAACATCTTAAAGGAAGCAAGAGCTATGCACTGGGCAAACAGTTTTCAGTTCTGTCTTGTTGGGAAGAATAAGCATTTTTAGCTCAGATTGACATTCAAGATGGATGGTTTTTTTGATAATCTAATTGATAATTTTTCTTGTTTTTTCCATTAAAGACAGCCTCAGATCAATATTACCAACAGTCAACACAAGAACATTACGCTGATTCTTTTGTGAGCTGCATGAACTTAAATGGCAATATCATAATCCTTGTGGCTGTGAATGTTTTCTTTACCTGGAGAGCTCTGAACATCAACATCATCAGAAATGTCTTCCAAAAGATCTTTAACATGAATACATGCTTGATCCTACAGATTTAAATCACAGAAATAAATAGATTAAAAGAAACAAGGAATGAATTAAACCTGACATGCATGTACATACAGTGTAGTTGTTAACACAAGCAGAGATATAAAAAAAACCCGTAACCAAAGTAAAAGCTATTCATTAACAAGAATATTTCACACTGAATATGACCTCCCTGCTTCTAAAATACATTTTTAATTTTCTTAGTATATTTGAGCTGAATAAGATTTTTGTACACACACACTGATATCTCACCTGACAAGACCAGATCCTGAGTTTCAGGTCTCTGCAGAGTGTGAACACACACATGTGTTTCCCAAATGGATGGATAACCAAACTCACTACAGCATCAGCTGCTAGCATGTCCCTTCTGAGACTGGTGGGAACAAGACCTGACCACAGGCGCTGAATCATTCCTGCTTGTTGTAACTCAAACTGTTCAACTTGACCTGTAGAAAGTGTTTTTACCAATAAGTTACATTTTATGTAACTACAGTAGTTTAGTTGGTTAAACCTTAAAACCTTTACATCAGCTCTGTACTAGAAATAGAAGCAAGTATAGTTGCTAAATTGAGAACACAGTTTCATAGGCTCCTTCATTTTGTCTACTTACAGTTTTAAACAAAATGTCTAGTCAAGTCAACAGAATGTCAGAAATTTAAGGGGTTGGAAGGTTTAAGGAAGACCTCCCCAGCCCCTTCTACACTGTCACTGAAAAATAATTACAGTTGACCCAGGAACTACCCATGACTGATTTACTATTATTGTTTTATTTCAACATTCCAACATTAAACACCAAATTTACAGACTGCTCTGCTTGCAAATCAAAGGGCTAATCAACAGGTGTAGGAAGGTATAGCAAATCAGAAAAATCCCATTTAGAACAACACCCTCAATTTTATTACCCTGTTTAGGACAAAGGACAAAATGTATGCCATCTTGTTTTCACGTTATGGTTACTGCTTTTGTATTATTAGTACAAACAAAATTCATCTACATGTAGCAAATCAAATCAATAGTGCAGGCAATACCTTTTTGACAGACTCACGTTAAATTACATAACCTGTTTAGGACAGCGAGGTCAAAAACCATACCCTGTACAGCGGCACAATTCCGTATAGCCCATGTAGGGGAGTACCCCCCCCCCACCTCCACCAACACCTTACTCCATATATCAGTCCATTATCAAAGGTTTTAAAACATAAGACGGCTTACATGGATGGGATAACTATTTCTGCTATTTTAACTCACCATCAGTGCCTGGAGGTGGCAATTTAATCAACAAGATCATGCCTGTTCCTGTTGCTAAAGCAAAAAGGCAATTTCCATCCTGACAAAGCCAACTTGAGAATGTTGAACAAGAATGAGAAAAAGTCGCAGTGTTGCAAGGTTCTTGTAGGTCATGAGGAGAGAAGTCAGTGAAGATTGATTGCTGGCTGCCCTCAGATGAAGAAGATAAGGCAAAGCCCTGCCGTAAAATAGAATTTTTCTCAATAACACTAATACACAGATGCGGCTTGTATAAAGCCAGAATTTATTTGGACTTTAACCAAGACTGGATGGAATGTATTGAACACAATCTGATCACGCTCATTTGGACCTCCTATCACTTGATATCTGATTGTGTGCATTTTGACATATCACATGAAAATTCTGTAGTGCACAGTGCTGGGTCAAGAACATTTTGACCTTCACGCTATCTCACCCACACTCCCTAACCTTTATATATTACTACAATCGGCTACAAAATGAGCTGAGACACTTTGCCGTAAACTGGGCTTTCTTACATTTTACTGACTTCAAAAAGAGGAAGTATAGCTTTTTCCCCCTCATCTTCTCCATGCAATGTAGTGCCGATGTTCAAGCTACCTACAGAAAACAGCAAACACCCCAACTTTGAACAGAGGGGGAAGAGGAGGGGGCCAAATCTGTTCTCTGAAATCACCCTATTTGAATACTCCCAACTATTAAATACAAAATTTTTGTCGCTGATTGTAGTTATAGAGTCACTCGCAAGATGAAACTAAAAAGGACACAAAAAGAACTTGCATGTCTGTGAAGTCTTTCAGGATGAGGAAACACAATCCTATGAACACTGCTAGTTGTGGCCACTAAAACACTAACGTGTGCACGGGTTTCAAATATGTACACAGCTGGCAGAAGAAAACCACCAGCAAATTGTAATTTAAGGCTGTTCCCAGTGAGATTGTAATCCAATGATTGTTCAACCAAATGCAGAACATTGTCTGTTATTCTCCTACAAAAAAGAAACATTTATGTTAATTTATAAAAACGTCGTATTCCCTACAGAACTAAAAATTCTAATAATTATCATGATTATGTACAATTTGGAAACAACGTTTTCCCAACACATCTTAGATTTGGATGAGATGAGCTTTATAATATCTGCAAGATAAGATATCTCCGCCAGCTACTTTAGTTTAAATGAAGCTTTTCATATTACCATATTTTCGACTTAACAGCTGTTTGTTTGTGACGAATGGTTTGTGAGTACTTACACGTAACAGTTCCGAGCATAGCATAATCTGCATTAAGTATCACCCGTTAAAAGCTTCAGCTAAAAGGTATTAAGCTTATATTTTAAACTAAAGTACCGACCAGAAAATAAAGCGGTTTCTCGTGACAGCGTCCGCAAGCCCACTCTCTCGATACGCATATCCACCCCCAACGTGTGATTTCGCATAATCTTCATCTTTTACTGTTGTTGTCAGCGTGGTTGCTATCGTAAAATTAGCCGTCTTTCCACCATTTCTATCACTATGAAGTGCTACTTCTCTAAAGCTTCTTCCGTCCGCCATCTTGTTTAGTTGCCCGCCATGTGAATGGACGTTAGAACCCAGTCTTCGTAATTTTCCCACAAGACCGCGCGCAACAGCACAAGAATCATTCTTGGAAATATTTGTTGCTGACATGCGCATAGATCCGGGGGAACAACGCAGATCGTTAACATCGTTGTATTGGTAGTAACTCTCTTCACCAGAGGTTATCCCTGACATTCCATTATATTTACTGCTCTAAACCTTTCTCTATTCCTCATAAGCTCGGCTTCTCGGAGATTTCCCCGCCAAAGTCACTCCTCCCAAGTAATGTACAAATTTTAAATTTAATGTTAATTAACCCTTTTTATTATCGTTTTTATTCTGCTTGTAATTCATTGTGAGTGGCAAAATAATAAAATAAATAAAAAAAATAGTATTTTTTCATTTTTCAAACGCGCTCAGGATCCCATGCTCCCCTGAGCGCGCTTACAGAATGGTGTTTTGTCACGCGCAAATGCGACTCTTCAAGCAACGCGCGCGCATAAAATTCCTTTTAAAATGTTTGCTACTTTTATGTTTTAGTTTTCTTATTTTGTCTCTTGGGGAGGATCTTTCATAATTACAGTAGAACCCAGGAAACTCGAACCCTGAAGGGAAACGATAAACAGTTCGAGTTAATGGGGGTTCGAGTTGTTGGGGTCGATTAAAAAATTCAATTTTCCAAGTTGAAAATTCATAGTTACTGATTTTTCAGCACTTCAGTATATGGTGCAGTTTAAATTTAACTTATTTCATCAGAAATGGTAACATGATAAGGCATTTTTAATGATAAAACGTGATCTGTTCGTTTCGCTCCATCTCTTCACCAGTTTCTTCTCGCATGTTCTCGGCTCATTCGCACCAGTCTTCCCTTGCCTGTTAGTACAGCAAATATCCTCTCGATCATGGAAAGGACATATGAGTCGAAGGCTTTTTGATTCCCTGCACTCTGTCAATTTTATTAAATATACGCTAAAACCGCCTTGCATGTAATAATGTTAAAGCTTTTGTTATAACCAACACCTGCATTATACGTATAATTTTCGACAGCAAAGGAGGGAACAAGAAGTTTGTTCACTTGTTTAAAAAAAGAACAGTTTTTCTAGTTCATGCTAAAACTGCAATGAGTCTATTCGGAAGATCCCCAGAAACCATAAAATATATCTGCAGCGAAGATCGGATGCTCTAAAAAGAAGCCCCGATGCCGATTCTGTACAGAACACATTACGGAAAAGGAATCAGCTGAATGAACAATTCAGACCCAAACCACCTTGTTAAACATGATGAATAGTATTACAGAATCCATGGGAATGTTCTGGGCCACAATGGTTTCACACTTTTAGCCTTCGGTTGCACGCGACAGTTTAATACAATAAAAAAATACGGAAAATCCCAGTATATACAAAAATAGAAGTAAAAGGACACCCTTACACTAATGTTCATGTGTACTACTGGTGAAAATGCTTATGTTTAGCCTTTTAAGTGAACATTTACAAAATTGTGGACCTATATTTTTCGCCAGTTTTAAAAAACATCACGATATTTTTTTCAGAATTTCAGTGTCAGTAAAACATGTTTCGATGTGTCTCACAAATTTATAACAACCTAGGGAAGCATGCATAATTAGCTAACGTAAAATGTGTGTTAAGTTGACATGATTATCTTGTTGACTGAGATCAGGCATTTTCTTGTTGATCTGCACAGCTTCCTTGAGTTTAAGCTCGATTGATTTGCTTGAGGTAGAACTGATTTATAATCTCAAAGCAATCAGCCACATACGAGTAGGATGTACGGTAATGCGCCCGAGTACATGAAACCTGGTTTAAGTGACAGTACAAAAAACTATTTCAGACAGCCATTAACGTGCTCCACAAAATATTAAAGCGGCCATATGAGATATTGACGAAAGTTAATGGCTTTATTGACTCTTTGGCTTGATTTATTTTGGCTTTTAAACAAAAGCGAAAAGGTGTTAGCAGCTTGTCTATTATCAATTGATAATATTTCTTTCTAGTTCTTCTATCACGCGAAAGTCCCTGAAAGATCAACTGACTTAAAAAAGATTAGTAGAGCTAGAATAAAATCGGTAATTCGTGTGATAGTGATAAAAAGATAATTCTACTTGAGGAGTGATCGAAAAAATTTGTAATTACGTTTGGCCTACTTAATGGATATATAGAGGGTAAAACATAGGTTCCAGTTGGTCGTAAATTGATCTTGAATTTTTATGAATAGTATAGTAGAAACTGAATCTACGTTTTAAATTAAATCGTGTTTATTACGATCAATATGTATTTACACCTCAGGGTCCAATATTGCCGAACCATTGCCCTGCACCTTGGGACCACGTTTGAATATCACACTCATTTATCCTTCACCAATATAAATTCTAAAAGCTACTAAAAATTTATTCCATGCAAGAAAACATGACGAGAAATAATTCTCTAGCCTTTTAAAAATTGTAATACTGTTTGCGACCGAGGAGTTGCAAAATACGGGTAAATTTGCTCCCACACATCCAGCCACCTAACTTCACTCTGGCAAGAAAAGTTTAAGGAATAAAAAAAAGTCTAGTTACGAATTCAGTTGCTTACTATACGTCAGAATAACTACCACGATTGAAATAGATCACTGATTGTCTAACTATCGAAAAACCTTCAAATCCCAGAAAAATGAGTTTAAAACGATCGAAATTGGCTGAAAGAGGCTACATTAGAATTTTTCAAAACAAGACACTGCATGCCTCAATATGTTCCCTAGCGGGAAAAAAGGGGAACACTCGATCACTTTCAAAATTAGTGTGTAGCTCTATGCTATAACAATTTTTAACAAAATATATCATGTCAGTCTATAGTCTATCCAACCCTGTATAAGCCAGATCTGACTAGTTTTTAGCTGTGTGCTACCCAAAGAGAAGCGATTTTAAGCTTCAGTGATAATTACAGGTAGGGGTTAGAGACGCCTTTCTTTTCGGGCCCGTATGTAAGTGAACTATTAACTACGAAAGGATCAGTTAGTTTTGAGTTTTCATTGCCCTATCCATTTTTCCAAGAGAGTAATGTTGAATTTGAAAACGAGGGCCCCCCTGATTTAAGGTGGATGCTTTCAAACTATGCGGAGATCAAGAGTCTGAATTTTCCTTGGGTGTCGGCTCTATCGTCCGCGCGCTTGAAATATGACTACAGTCGTCTTGTCGTACTGTTTGAAGCTCAGCAAATGTTTAAAGTTCTTCACACAAAAAACCACACTTTATGGGATCCAAAATTTACAACGTTTATTGCGAATTTATCTTTCAATCTTTCCAGTAGTTGAGTGTCTAAAGCAGACAAGCTTGCTTTAATGATAGCTGTGAAACGGTTTTCGGCTAATTACAAAGAAAGGCGTATAAAAGTGGCGCAGGTTGAAATTAATTATATATAATGCGGCATTTCTATATGAAGAACATCTGGGTTTAAACTATACTGCGGTGGTACATTTTATCAATAAATGGCATCAATATCTTCTTATCTCCACCTGCATTTATCTACAACTACAAAACGCTTGTTAAATTCGTTCGCCGTAAGCTTATTTAGTTATGATTCATTGAGGGAGCGGTTCTACATTTTCCACGGAACCTACAACAGGAAATCGTCTTGCGAGCGGGCTGATTTCTGCAATGGTTGTACCGCCGTCGTGAATGAGTTAGTTACATCCCGCCAATTTGTCATGACCTACAAGAACAAAGGAAATATAGATACTTAAAATTTTATCCACGATATAATACAGTCTTTTTTACTTTTTGAGAGATTTTTAATGTAAAATACATTACATAGTACAGCGATAATTAGCTCTGTATATCAATAATTAGTTTTCAGACTCTAAAAAGATCGCTATACGTGCAGTCAATTAAAAAAAAAAGCACAAACATCAAGGTTTTTTTGTGTAACAGGAATTCTTAATGTTTTTATTCTCATTTCAACCACTTGTTATGGAAATGGTTATAAAGCAGCTTTTCTTGAATTTATTGTAACATGTACGAGTTNAAGGAAATATAGATACTTAAAATTTTATCCACGATATAATACAGTCTTTTTTACTTTTTGAGAGATTTTTAATGTAAAATACATTACATAGTACAGCGATAATTAGCTCTGTATATCAATAATTAGTTTTCAGACTCTAAAAAGATCGCTATACGTGCAGTCAATTAAAAAAAAAAGCACAAACATCAAGGTTTTTTTGTGTAACAGGAATTCTTAATGTTTTTATTCTCATTTCAACCACTTGTTATGGAAATGGTTATAAAGCAGCTTTTCTTGAATTTATTGTAACATGTACGAGTTGGGCTTCGAATCAGATTAAACTCGGCAAAAATATTTTACCAAGAACAGTGCAACCATGACTTGCTCAAAAATCGTTTACAATAAAAAATATTATTTATTTATTTCTAATTTCTAATCCAAGTGTTTAGTTGAATCGTTTATTCGGCTTTAAAATATATCTGTGTCTCAGGCTCTCGGTCGAAAGGCTATAAACACTGGAAATCAAATTCTTTAACGGATTTACTGAAATCAGAAAAAAAAAACAGAAATAACAAAAAAGCATTTTCGGACTATGTAAATAATATTTTGCTTTTATATCAAAAGAGAGATCAAAAGTCATCGTACTTTGATCATAAACATATTCAACTTAAACGTGTTTTAAACTGTTCAAATGAAAATTTAACGAAAGAAATACAAAAAAAGACAACCAAAAGTAGGAAACGGAAAGAAATCAGGTACTTTAAAATTATTTATTTGAAGGGAAAGCAGTTCAAGCTGCACGAGAATCGAGTTTCGTTTCAACGCTTCCTTTATTTGCCAGCATGTGAATATTCTCAACAGAAAAAAAGGGTTCAAAATTGAGAACTTTGTATTAGTAGAACATCATAGAAACAGCAGCTTAGCCGATTTAACGTTTCAATCTCTATTATTTCTAGGGCAAACATTTCGTCGAGTGAAATCTAATTTCTAGAAACCGAA